GGTCGAGTCCGAATTGCCTGAAAATCGGACCGAAACTTCCCGTCAAATAACCGCTCCCCGTTACACAAATAGAAAAACATGTAATACACAGGCTGTGGACCATCTAGAGGTCACAATTTTATCCGATTTAATTTAGATGAAACTTAAAACGGGTATCATTAGTTCAATTTTCGTGCGCATCTGCCCCTGCCTTTTACACAAAATGTGAAATATGAATGAAGTTTGTGGACCTTTCACGATGAAACTTAAACTATATGACTTAAGGATCAGACCTTAAGATTCTGAAACTGAACAAATATGTTAAAGATCAAAATATCTTGAATGAGAGGATGGACCCTATTAATTTCATACAAAATGTGGGCGTATTTGCATGGCAACCGTTTGTTTGAACTGGTCATAACTGATAGTGAATTATTTGATGGATATGAGAGAGAGAGAAATGGGGTTTAACGTCCACTCGACACAAACTAGGTCATTTCGGGACTAACATGGTTTAATTTTATTTCAATAATTTGCTTGCGCGTAGGGGTCTTTAGCAGTGGGAGGAAACCGGAGGACCCGGAGAAAACCCACGAAGTTGGACAGGCGACCCTACTCCTTGTCACGTACAACCGGGGATTCGAAACCACGCCAGTTGACTCAATGGCAGGCTTTATGATACAGCGCGCACGTGCTAACCATTCAGCCATCCAACCCCCCTTGATGGATATGGGACAGGGGATCAGTATAGAGCAAATCGGGGTTTCTGAAAGTCTACGTTATAGAAGTCAAACTTCTATGTAAAAATCTTTGTTTTTAATCGAATAGTTACTTGCGTTCAATAATTAGGAGAAAGGAGAATTTTCGGCAAAATTATTGGTGGGGGGGGGGGCTAATTTTAACATTTTCATTTTGTCTTTAATATTGGATATCAAAAGTTTGTCTTTTTACGATAAGATAACAACATCTATGTTGATTTATATTGACCAATATGTCGTGTTTGTAGTGTCGAAGACTGAGTTAGAGACTTGCCTCCTTTAAATTGGAGGGGCCACGGACTAAAACCGCGATTTTTCGTACAACCAGGGACCATAATCCAGGAAGTTACGTTCCGATGCGCGAATATCGAAAGGAACAGATCTTTGGGATATATACATACACTTTAGGTTGCATCAAAATCGGATAAAACTGTGACATCTAGAGGAACCACAAGCTACAAACTCGGTAAAATCGGATAAAGATAAATTGCCAGGCAACGAAACATACGCCCACAGCAGCTAAATCGCCCAGGAGGTCGACAAGGGTTGTTGCATATTTATTCCTTTGTTGGTAATTGGGGGTCTTTACAAGACAGTTCCATACAGATCAGATTATAATTCGTGTAAGGGTTCACAAGGTTCTACAAACTGAAACAAGGGTCTCGACAGGCTTTTTCGTTATACTAATCTAAATAATGTATATAAATTTCATACAGATCAGATGATCACTTTCAGGGGCGTACATAAAGATTTTTTTTTTTTGGGGGGGGGGGGGGTAGCAAAAATGCGACCGACTGATGCACATGTCCCTAATACGAGTGACGCAGTCAGCGGCCGAGAACCACAGACAATAGTTTTCTAGGGGCCAGTACCTGATCTGGAAGCTGGGAATAGAGGGTGGGGTGGTTCCAAATCTAGGGTGCCATCCACAATCACACCCCACAATGATTGTCAACAAAATACTGGCTATAACACGGGGCGCCCCGGTAGAACATAGATCGTATTGCCTATAGTTGTTCGCCGATCGTTATCTCGTCAGAAAGCAGTTTTATTCAAGTTTACACAAACTACATGTCATATAATATGATTGTTATTGATTTTGTAATTAAATTTATGTGAACCTTAGGCACTGCCCCCGAGAAAATTTTGAAAAACTGAACAAATATCCTGGCACTTGAAGTCATTTCTGGGAGCAAATTCTTGTGAACAAGAGAACCAGAAATAGGAGTCAATAGGACAGAATCTCGAAATCTGCCCCCGTCAATGCCGCCTGTTTTGCCCGAGTTGTCAGTACATTTGTATAGTCTGTAACGACCCACGACCTACTAACTGGGCAGTTCACTATAACCGTGAATATGACAGTGCTGGGGCAGTATAAAACCACAGAGAAGTGGAAGAATGATGCCATAATGGAATCTGGCGGCGCAGGCGTGAAATTTTTTTAGATATGTAACTGACATTTTAATTTTTGGGGACTGAGCCTGAAAAATTATAGGTCATGACAAATGGGATCAAATTCTCCTTAACGAGAGGATAAAAAAATGGGACAGAATCTTGAGGCCCGTCCGTCCATTTCGCCTGTTTTGTGAGAGTAGAATTTATAACAATTCTAGTCTGTCGCTCACTCACTAGTGGTACTACTAACTGGGCGATTCCCTGTAACTGTGAATATGACAGTGATGAGATTGTATAAGACACGAGTTGAAGAATAATGACACAATAGAAATTATGAGCGCCGTAGGCGCGAAAAACATTTAGTTTATGTAACTGAGCTTTTATTTTTTTGAGACTGTGTCCGAGGGAACTTTGTCTCACGGGGGGGGGGGGGGGCTTACTAGGTCTCTGAAATGCCATTAACTGGACTTAGGGATCTGGGGAAAGGTTTTGCAGAACTCTGATGGTCAGAAAATACTTACAACATGAGTAAAATACGTTTCAATTTCTACTGGGATTAAATATGTAATTACTAAAAATTCATCGCCTTAACATTTCACAATTTAAAGATTTTTTGAAATGCCATTAACTGGACTTAGGGATCTGGGGAAAGGTTTTGCAGAACTCTGATGGTCAGAAAATACTTACAACATGAGTAAAATACGTTTCAATTTCTACTGGGATTAAATATGTAATTACTAAAAATTCATCGCCTTAACATTTCACAATTTAAAGATTTTTTTACGTATTTCTGAAACAAACTATGCTTCCGATAACGTCTTACCAACTGTTCGACTATTATTCGTATGACAATCAATAATATAATTTAAGTAATCAAAATCTTCGTAACAAGCTCTCTCAATTCCTTAGACCAACATAATCATAACAGGGATTTTTTTTTTCAAACATGAAAAGTTGACTAGGTTATTTTATACTATACCGTTGCAATTTAAGTGCACACATTCACACACAATTTTTCCCTTCTATTTTGGCATTGCTTACCTCATTAATTCATTTAGTCTTAGACCGACTGCAGTGAGCACTTTTTTTGAGACCGACTATGTGAGGTAAGAAATTTAGGTGCACGTATATTAAGTATTTGAGGTTTTTCCCGTCTATTCTGGCATTATTTTTTTACTTCATTAATTCATTTCGTCAGTCGCCGATGCATAATTTTGAACCCGACTGCAGTGACTGCACTTATTTTGAGACCGACTATTTTTCTCCCTGGGGGAATTTTTTTGTACTTAGACCAACCCACAACAGAATAAGGGTAAAAACATTTTTTCAAACATAAGTTGACAAGGTTATTTTATACTAAGGTTTTGGGCGAGTAGCGTGACTTATGCATTTAGGTGCACGGATTCACGCAAATACATACAATTTGATATTTTCCCTTCTATTTTGGCATTGTTTTTATCAATGAGCACTTATTTTGAGATCGACTCAGCACTTATTTTGCAACAGATTATTTTTCTCCCTGGGGGATTTTTTTTAACCTTTGACCAACTCACAACAGAATAAGGGTAAAAGACATTTTTTCAAAAATGACAAGTTGACAAGGTTATTTTATACTAAGGTTTTGGGTGAGTAGCGTGACGTATGCAATTTAGGTGCACAGATTCACGCAAATACATAAACTTTGGGATTTTTACTTCTGTTTTGGCATTGTTTGTACTACTTCAGTGAGCACTTATTTTGCGACCGACTATTTTTTTCGCTTGAGGGCACAACTGCCATAACTCTAGAAATTTGGGATTTTTCCTTCTATTTTGGCATTGTTTGTATTAATTCAATGAGCACTTATTTTGAGATCGACTGCACTTATTTTGCGACCGACTATTTTCCTCCCTGTGGATTTTTTTTTACTTAGACCAACCCATAAACAGAATAAGGGTAAAAACATTTTTTCAAATCTAAGTTGACAAGGTTATTTTATACTAAGGTTTTGGGTGAGTAGCGTGACGTATGCAATTTAGGTGCACGGATTCACGCAAATACATAAAATTTGGAATTTTTCCTTCTGTTTTGGCATTGTTTTTATCAATGAGCACTTATTTTGAGATCGACTCAGCACTTATTTTGCGACAGATTATTTTTCTCCCTGGAGGATTTTTTTTTTTACTTAGACCAACTCACAACAGAATAAGGGTAAAAGACATTTTTTCAAACATGACAAGTTGACAAGGTTATTTTATACTAAGGTTTTGGGTGAGTAGCGTGACGTATGCAATTTAGGTGCACAGATTCACGCAAATACATAAACTTTGGGATTTTTACTTCTGTCTTCGCATTGTTTGTACTACTTCAGTGAGCACTTATTTTTAAATTGGATAAAAATTGTGATTTTTAGTACTATCAGGTCCATTATCAAGAAGTTACGCTCCGATATGCGAGCGATCTTTGAGTTATAAACAGTACATTTCAAGTTTCAACAAAATCAGATAAAAATTGTGACCTCTTACAGTGTCCACAAGCTAAAAACATGATTTTTCGTACAATCAGGGTCCAAAATCCATGAAGTTATGGTCCGAAACAAGCAAATATCGAAAGGAACCGAGATCTTTTGGAGTTAAACCAATATTTCAAGTTTCGTCAGAATTGTGACCTGTAGACTGTCCACAAACAAATTGTAAACGGACGGGCAGGGGCGATGGTAATATACTTCAACATGAAAATGCGGGCGTATAAAACAACAGAGAGAAGTCGGTATTGTAATACAACAGAGAGAAGTCGGTATTGTAATACAACAGAGAGAAGTCGGTATTGTAATTCATAATATATAGAATTATATTATTATTAAAAGAAAAGGTCAATAAAAACATCAACTACTAGTTCCAATACTTTAATTTCATAAGAAGAGGCTTTGAAACATATTTAATATCCAATCACGCATAAATATGCTGTACAAATCTATTGCTGCAAGACAGAACCATTTAGTCACTTTCGTTTCTTTATCGCAGGTTTAACATTGAATAGACCCAACTGGCTTAAAATGGAGGAAGTGCTTTAATACCAGTGTACACCCAAGTATCATTTAGATTTAAAAATTCATTAGAATTAAACGACGATGTAATAAAATTAACTCTTCAAATCTGTTGAAGAAAACAAAATTTTAAAAAAAGCTTTAATCCTAGGATTTGGCATATAGCACTGTGGCGTCTATAACAGTTAATTTGATAAAATTATATACTAGGTTGTCCTCACAGCAGAAGGTAAGGAAATACAAAGAGGGCTTTTTTTTTCTGGGCATTGCACCTTGTTTTAGAGAAGTCCATGCAATTTAGCTGTAGCAAACCGGAAGCATGGTATAAAGCAAGATTACATCTAAACGCAGACATGGTTGGTTTTAAACCATACTCACATGCAAGGTTAATTTTCACTTTTTTATTTTTCATTTTATTTTGTTCTTTTAGTAAGTAAACAAAGAAACAAGTAAATAGACATCAGTAACTTAACAAAATACACACATAATAATAAATTTGCTTTGCTATAGAAACTAAAAACATTTATCTTTTTCTTGAATAAATTCAAATGCCAAAAGCCTTACCATGAGATATAGTCACATTTTAACCATTACAAAAGGTGGAAATCCGGCCCATTAAGTACATAATAAAATAGTCAAAGGACCCATTCACCTCTTGGCTCTTATTTAAATTAGATAACATGATATATATCATACAGATGAACACTTTTCCTACATTCCATCACTTACAGCCAAAATAGAACTGAAGAGCTCATTTCCAAAAGACTTAAGAAGTAGAGACCAACAACAATTTATATTGGTTATGTCTTTAGTTTTATCAAATCACAAATTATATAAATATCTAAACAAATAGCAGTTCAAATATTTGGAAAACAGCTCTTCAATCAACAAAACTTGCTTCAAGCTCCAAATTGGACTGATCCCTCAAACAGTATAAGTTGTTGCCCGGCAACCTGCCAGTGAAGATGATATAACAACGGCTAGAGCTTCTATAACAAGCCGTGATTACGTCTGCGCTGTTGCGGCATTGTTGGGTAAGGGCGATATGCTTGGTGTCAGGACCGGAGAACTTGACACACCCACCGTGCTGCTGACCGGTTGACCTGAAGGCATGAAGGATAGCAGTCAGTCACTATATATCCTCAAATTAAATATAAACTAGTAAACTTCTCCCACTATTTCCACTGAGCTTTTTATTATTGAAGCTTTTTGTTTACAACTCAACCAATTCTGGCTGTTAATTATGTTAGTATCTTCACAAAAAGACTAAAAGCTTTGAGAATTTATACGGGATAGACAGTTTTAGAGTCATTCAATCATTGTGCTTAGTAGAGAGAAGTTCATAGTCGTATTACAAAACAGAACAGACTAAAGATAAGTAAGGCACTTTTCTTGAATCTTTTCTGTCTAAAAAAAATAAATAAATATCATATACAGCTAAAAATGGGATGTGTTTAGTATATCTAAGATTTTAATTTTCAGGATTGTGAGTGATCAAAATATTCTGAATTGGTTAAATCAAAGATCAAAAGAATGCAAATAAGTGGGTGAAAAGAAAGAAAAATTCAGTGGCCAAAATTTTTTTCATGACTGACATTGGAGCAAGCCAAAGCAATATAGCATTTGCGACATACAAGTAAGCAAACCACAAACCAAGCCTGGACTAAGGTGCACACCCAAATATTTTATATAATATCAAATTTTATAATTGACTGAACACAATTCTATGCAGTTCTTGCAAATAACAAGACAAATGATACATAAAATGTCACTAGCATTTTTTATTATTTTCCACACTCCAATTATATTAACAAAAAATAATTTCTTTATATTTCACACCAAACTAACATGTACACATCTGATAGTTTATTTTATACAAAATATGAGCACTATAGGTAAATTTGGTGTAAATTTGCAAATTACTCATTTTACCATTAAAATGAATTCAAATATATTGATAACTGAGCACCATCAAACAAAAACAAAATTATTTAAAATGAACTTTGAATTTTTGAAAAATAATTTTTTGAAATAAAAGAAATATGAAGATTAACCCTTCAAACATAACAGCTGAGGATTGGTCCACAACGTAAAATTTGCTTTTGTGATCAAACTCTTTTAAACACTAGACGAGTTTGTTAATAAAAACATTGAATTGACTTGGGACAGAACTGAAGAATTGACTTCAGACTCCACAACTATTAGTAGGCCTACATGATGATAGTTATCACATATAAACAAGTCTATTAAAGCCTTCCTAATGAACGAATGAATGAAAATGATAAAAAGCCACCATAGATGGTCATCAGACTGCGTTCTCTGTTTAACTTTATCTCGTTTTGCAAAATTTTGGCACAAAATAAAGAAGGCACCTGAATAGTTATAGTTAGACTCAATAAATTAATGAATATCAACAAGGCTGTAAATTGACTAACGATTTTTAAACTGGCAAATGTTTTATGAAAGAATGGTGTTCAACTAAAATTATAACTTGTAGATAGAACGGGAGAGACTAATCTACCTCCAATTTGTCCTGAACTAGATACTGGAGTCGGAGATGAGTGACCAGATATTGTAGACATTCTGCCCTGTTCTTTCACTATAGGATCTGAAAACAAAGCATCAGCAAATCAATTTGTTAATACAAGCACAATGCTAAATAAGCCATCCAACATTTATTATAAACAGGTAAGTCAAGATGGGGAGAAATATGACAGCAGAAAAAGAAAACAAAGCATCAAGAAGGGTTGAAATAAAATTCAATGGGATTGGGACATGTTTCTTTTCATGTATGTTATAAAAAAACAAAATGTCTATTGAACTAGATTAAAAACTGACATCGATTTATCTACATTGTAGTGACAACAGGTGTGAATTAGTCTTAGGCCACACAAAATAAATGTCTTGTTTCTCGGGCAACTGACAGCTGAAACTGTAGGGAGGGAGGGCGGTTTCTTTTTTTTTTTTACTCATAGATGGTGCAAAATAAAATTTAACTATTGCTGAAAATTGTTGGGGCGGGAGGGCGGTCTTTCTTTTTTTTTTTTTTTTAAATGAGAAAGTCATTACTTGTTTACGTTTTTGCTTTCCGTTATATTCAACTTTATTGTACATACTTAAAACATAAACCCAAAATCAAGTCTACTAAAACACTGAGACTGAACACTGACTGAAAGGAAAATAATTTTCCATATTTAATTCACATAATTGAAATTGGTTTAAAATAAAATTCCATACGACTATGTAATAGCCCTCCATAAAGACAACAATATTTTTAAAAACTAAGCCTCTTTCACCAGGTGTATCAAAAATAATAATCATGGTAAACAGTATTTAAAACTAAATCTAGTATCGCCGGTTTATTTATAATTATTTACCGAATTCCAACCAATGCATGTCACACCGTGTCATCGGTATTGGAGATTGCCGGAAATACTGTTTCTTGGGATATTCGGTGTGTTTCTCAGGATATTCGGTGTTCTATCCGGTGTTTATATTGAATGACTATTTAAATCTAACTAACAACTGGTCAGTAAAACCATCAAATCGGTAATCCAATTATTATTTTCCGGATTATCGAAACTACCGTAAATGTGCTAATAATGACCCAGATTCTAAGGTATGCATTATGACGACTATCGTCATCGTATCGTATTCTTAGCTATAATTAATTAACCTGTTCTACGGTTCATTATTTTATCAATAGGATTTTCCAAACAAGGACCGACTGAAGCCGGCAATAATGAGCCGATTACGATCGAATGATTGAAATATTGTCGCCAATGACTTTTAACACGAATCAAATTCTAGTTTATCAGGGGAGGTAATTAATATCACGTGATACAAAATGGAGGTTCTTTCGATATCAATAAAAAAGGCAAATCTGCCAAACTTCGTCATTGTTCGGATAAAAAAGACAGCATGTTCATCTGAATCAGTTTTAATACATTGGAATAGATATACATGTATGGCGGATGTAGGTACATGCGGGATATTTTTTTTACGACTTGCTTGTCGATTTGCGGGCGGGCGTTACATATTTATTTTTTTTCATCAAGACTAATAAATAGACTGCACGCGCAACCAATTTTGCGTGCGGGCGGTGCCCGAGAAACAAGTTATTTTATTTGTGTTGCCTTATATTTGGTCTGTATTAAAATATACTAATATTGGAAACTGCTCCAGAAATTGTTTCAGGAATAAGTAATTAAAGGAAGGCAGTACTTGTCGAAAGTAAAAAAAGTATCTGATCAAAATGACATTTGCTTAAAGGAAAGCTTAAATAATGGTGTATTTAATATCTTCCATGGAAACATATTTGCACTTAGAAATATTAAACATCAAGCTTTTTATCTGAGATCATAAACCAGTTTTATACATTTATTCTTTTCTTCACTTTTTATAATCCAGGTAGTTGTTGTAACTTACAGAAATATGGATGGTCCATTGCTTCACGAGCAGTGAGCCGTTCTTGATGATCATAACGTAACAGTTTATCCAAGAAGTCCAAGGCCTCAGGACTTACTAAATGTTGATTCTCACTATGGACAAACCTTTCCCACCGTTTTCTTGAATGCCTGAAATGTAATTTTTTTAAATTCAAGAGATGTTTTACAAAAACCATTACAATGTTAATAGATACAACTGATCAATTTTAGGATGGGGCACCAGTTCATTATTCCATTGCTATGATGAATGGGTAGTTACTTCATACTCTAAGCTTGTCATACTGCAGATAAGAAATGTTTACTGAAATAAATTTGGCAGGTAAAATACAACATGTTATTGGTCAATCTGATTAAAATACAGATCTATATTTCCTTTTTTTTTTTCCATACTTTCAATGGCCTACACTACATGAAGATCTGACAAGTTGTACTCCAAGGTCGTGTCAGGGGTCATACGAGCGGCTTTTGCCGCTATGACATCAGACATTGATTAATCAATCAGCGTTTACCCACAGTTCCGTGCATGGCCCTCCAAGAAGTCGCCGTAACATACTGCTTCATTGACCAAAACGTCGGTAATATAACAACTCTTCCAAATCCTAGTGTAGTGAAGACAAGTAAAACGAAATTTTGAACTATAAAAAAACGAAAAGAAATAGGATCTGTGTTTTTAATCAGATTGGTTATTTGTATTCATTCCTTGTTGTTTAATAGTATTTTGACACATATACATTACCTTCCTAAAATATCATTAAACCGTTGATCTAAATCTATTTGATACTTTTCAATATACGCATACAAATCATCTGTACCTAGAACTTTAGCTATTCGCACCAACTGAAACAATATAAGTAAATTCATAGTTACATGCTACATCTATTTAAGATCTAGTTTTCATAACCTTTCACAACACTTTTTTTTGTAATTTTTTTCAATACTGTAGTAGTCAACATTTGCTATACACCGTATTTCAAATGAGTAAGCCATACTGAGTTTTGAGTAGTGTCACAGTTAATTTTTCATGTAAAGAAAATTGACCAATCCTATGGCTTAGAGCAATACAAAGGTTTTATTATAGAAAATTCTCTTTTGTGGTGACCATTTTTTACCTAAATACTATCTATATCTGATAATTTCAAATTCTTCAGGGACAATAACTCTGGAAGTCATTCACCTTTACCTCAATATACCAAGTATATAGTTTTTGAAAATTGCAAATTGGCAGTTGTTTCAACTCCGTAAATTGAGTACAAAAAAAAAGGAGCAACAGCAATGCAACCTAATGTTTAATTTTTGGTAGGCTTATATGAAATGAATAAGCTTATTACATGTAAATTGTACATTTTAGAAACACATTTACTGAATCTTTTCTTTACAGGTCCTACGAATCTTAAATTTTGTCCATTTTAAAAATGAGTGCTTCACCAATATCCATATTGATTGCACCGGTATAATTTTGAATTTTCAAATCATTCAAAATTATTAAACAAATCGAACAAATTCAAAAATATTATATCAAGTTCAAATTATCGAATCAGTTACAACCTGTAAAAAACAATTCAGCAAATTTAATTACTTTGAAATGAGAATAAATGTCCTACTTTTCTGTAGCAGCCAGCCTAATGAAGATGGGTAATTACTTTGAATATTCCTAAAATCAGATCTATAAAACCTACCTGATCATAATTATCATGTCCATGAAAAAACGGTTCTTTCCTAAAAATCATGCTAGCAAACATACATCCTAGACTCCACATATCTAAAGAATAATCATACATCTGAAAGGAAAACAAACATTTGTCTTTGGTATAAAGAAAATAAGAAAATTGAAGGAATTCTCATACATTTCAATGCATTGGAATATTTTACCAGTTCAAATAGCAAGAAACATAAACAATACCTGGTATTGACAATTTCCGAGTGCATTTATGTGATTCAGCAAGTTTTACCATCTGTGCATTATGGATTTTATACTCTATACAATGCTGAATAAACACTATTAATGTAGCACTAAAGATTTTTCATCAAGATCAAATTGCTAATAACATTTTCATTTTAATCAACACAAGATTTCTTATAACAGTTTCATATCAACACAATTAAAACAAACGCAATTGATTGAATTGATGTCAGTGCTCAAAAGCCAACAAATTATCTATATATATATATATATATATGGGTTTGGAAAACACTTATTACTATGAAGAGCAATTACCTGATAATCTAAAAGAAGTTCTGGGCCTTTGAAATAACGAGAGGCTACTCGTACATTATATTCCATTCCTGGATGATAAAATTCAGCTAAACCCCAATCAATGAGACGTAACTTGAAAAAGAAATTTTCAGTTTACTTCAATATCACAAATGCATAAATGCCCAAGACGAAATATTGGACAATATATTGTGGACTAGTTGTATTACCTCTTTAAGAAAACTAAGGAACTAAAGATAACTCTTTCCACAGGAATTTCCATAAATCTTCTGGCAAATCAATTCCCATGCTGCTTACAAGAAATCTTATAACTTTTTCATTTAAAATAATTCTAGTTAAAACAAAGCATACAAACTTCAATAGACTGTCTCAATAACAATCGATATAAACTTATAAAACAATTGGATATGTAGTCTGTAGAGTGTTCAGAGTGCATAGAAAGATAGGTTGCCAAGTAGCGAAACATAAGCTCACAGCAGCAAATCGTCTTAAGTCCTCGACAAAGGTTGTCGCATATTTATTCTTTTGTAGGTAATTGAGGCCATTTACAAGACAATTTCATACAGATTAGATTATAATTTTCGTCGTTTGTAGGTTCACAAGGTTCTACAAACTGAAACAAGGGCCTTAACTCTGGAAGCAGTTTACATAAATTGTTGAAATTCAATAGGCTTTTTCGTTGTACTAATTTAAGTAATGCATATAAATTTCATACAGATCAGATAACTTTTGTCATTCAAATGTTCACAAAGTAAAACAATGATCATAACACTAGAAGTAACTGAGGGAAATTGCTGAAATTCAATAGGCTTCTTCGTTTCACTACTTCAAATGATGCATATAAATTTTATACTTATCGGATGATAACTTTCGGCTAATGCAAAACGAATCAGGCCTTTACACTGTACGCATTTTGATCAAATATTTCCTTAGTAATGAAAATCACGCCAGTCCAAAGCTTTTAGTAGCTCTCCTGGTAAAGGAAAGTCACGATGAGACTGGTTGCTCAAAACTAAGTTATTTTAACAATATGTTAAACTCTAACGGATCATTATCTTGCTAACATGTCGTTTGTTAATGGTCGGTTAAATTTCTGTTGCTGGAAAGTCAATTTCATTATCTGTTAGCTAATGGACTAATTAAGTTGATCCAAAAAAAGACTGTTCATTGGCTGAATTTAACAACTTCCTAGACCAATGTGCAGTCTGTTCACAAAACTTGATTAAAGACAAAAAGATAACTGTAGAATTTACTATAGAAAACACTATAAAAATTTCAGCATAAATCTGTAGAAATAATTATGGTATTTGCACTACAGAAACTGGAGAATATTTGGGACCATTATTTTCAACAGGCCCCCAAAATTCTGTAAAATACTATAGAATTTCATCCTATAGAAAATTGAATAGCCCCCCCCCCTCCCTCCCAATAGCCCAACCGTCTATAATGTTCTAGATTGACAGCCGACTAGTGCCATCGTTAAACAGATAATAGAGCCCAACACCCCTGTTAAATATAATGGCAAGTTAACGCCATGTTAAAGTTAACAGGGCTTCCAGCAACAGACTTCCTCTTCGTTAAAGGTAACGATCCATTAAATCCATGTCAATGAGTTGTTAAAAGTTAACAGAGCTTTGAACAACAGGCCCCTGATGAATATAAACAATACCTTTCTGTTTTCATGGTCTATCATCACATTATGAGGTTTAACATCTCGATGCATGATACCAAAACTATGGCAGTAATCCAATGCCTGAAACATTAAGACTGGAGTCAAATATTGTTCATTAAAATCCTGCACTCTCAACATGTTTTTTTAGGGAATAGGGATATCTGATTATAGTGGACATAAATCAAGTTCAATTACAAACTATCATCACTATTTTTTTTCTTTCTTAGAATTAACCTTTAAATATTAAGAATGAAAAGTTATATATGATCAGTTCTAGATGTATGAATAATACAAGTTTGAAAACAAAATTGAAAATTGTTTAGAAATACTATTATAATAATAATAATATGGAAATTTATATCGGACACAAACCCCATAGTAACAAGGACCCTAGTGCATTTGCAAAGTTTATGATTGATCTTTGGTTCCAAAGTGTAACTGGAACATGTTTTAAGCTTATGTTTTAAAGTGTCAGTTGATTTTTAGGTTTTTTAGGGGATGATTTCCATAATACAGATAAAGCATACCTAAAAGAATGTCCACACAGTTGGAGATTTACTTTTAGTACAGCAAGGAGGTTTTTGTCATTTGATATCAGAGTTTGAGAGTGTTGTGGTTTAACAAATAGATTGAATATGTAATTAGGAGCGGTGCCATTTATTAGGTGTCACACCATTGCTCGCATTGGAAGAAAGTCATTTATACCAGATTTTTAACCTTTTTTCAACTAAAATCACACAGTCCCTATTTAATATTTTTTAATATTTAAAACAGATTTATGTACCTGTTTTTCTTTTTAGTTGAAATACGCCAATTTTGTGTGTTTTGATGTTACGATAAAATCTTTTGTCAGGTTTTGAAACGGGGGTACCCCATTTCAAATGCTCGGCCGCAGTTCTTATAATTAATATATTTTTTTTCATTTTGATACCATTAGAAAGATAACTGAATGACCTTTTAATCGGTCGGTTATGCAATGTTGGCATTTCAAAATATCACATATTCTTTGTAAGTTGAAAAAACAATTCACGCTCACTTTTCTTACTAGAAAAATACTGGATTCCGTGAAATACACTCATGGAGTGTATACAGGACAAAAATGTAAAGGTTTCCCTAATCGACAGCCCGGCGATTAGGATTGTCTGCTCGTGCGGCGTCAAAGGTTGCATGCGGAGATTGAGCGCTTGATGTATATGTTGATAAACTTTATATGAAGAGTTAGACGTAGAACACTTTCTGAGATAAAAATCACGGAAAAAGACGTGGACAATGGATAATCTGAGAATTTAATTAGGCTTCGATATTTATGTTAAATGGATAGCGAGTAAAGACAACATCATCTTGTGTATGCAATGAATTCTCCTCCAACTTCGCGCCCGTTGCTAGGTAGTTCGCTAGCGAAGTCATGTGACACTAACATGACCTCTTTTAATAGATTTTTATAGCAGGGTATTCCCTCGCGTAAAAAGTGTTTTGAGAAGGATTTGAAGCAAAATTTTGATAGATTAATTAGTTTGAATATGTTTTTAGTCCAAATACATCATCAAATCACCCAGTTTGTACACGGAAATGTATCTTTAAAATAATACAATTATCAATATTGATGTCATAACTATTGGAAAATAATGCTTTTGGGAAAAAAAATAACTGTGGTTGCTACGATAGCATATATGGCAGATTAGAAATAAGCAATTTGAAAAATTTACAACCTTTTTAACATGTTCACATAATTTCACTTGTTTATCTCCATTGCTTCTTATTTCATTAATGTCTCAAAAATGCCCAAATAAAAAATAGGCAATTTGCTCCAGCGGAGCAAATTTGCCTTGAGAGAAGGCATATAAATGTGTATTTTTGTAATCTCACTTGATAGCCACTGATTTAAAGATAGGTTGCCAGGCAATGAAACATACGCCCACAACAGCTAAATCATCCGGGAGGTCAACAAGAGTTGTCGCATATTTTTACTTTTTTCGGTAATGAAACATTTATAATACACTAAAATCTGATTAAGAGCAACAACTGAGAAAACCATTAGAATATGTTTGGTTTTTATAAAGTTCTGCCCCATGCTAACGTTTTGTATACAAAACTTTTAATATCATGGATTTAGCTGTTCCAAGTCATAAAAATTCACTGAAAATCAATATACTTGTTCCTCTCAAGATCTTAAACTCTGTGTATCAATCTGAAGTCAATCGGATGATAACTTTAGCCTTTAGAGCGTCACAAGATTTTGCAAAGTGATCAAGGGCCATAACTTTGGCAGTAATTATCGGAAATCGTTGAAAATCAATAGGATTTCTTCGTCTCATGATCCTAAACACTGTGTATAAATTTAAGGTCAATCGGATATTAACTTTGGCCTCTAGAGCGTCCACAAGATTTTTCAAAGTGATTAAGGGCCATAATTCTGGCAGTAATTATCGAAAATCGGTGAAAATCAATAGGCTTCTTCGTCTCATGACATTAAACACTGTGTATAAATTTAAGGTCAATCGGATATTAACTTTGGCCTTTAGAGCGTCCACAAGATTTTTCAAAGTGATCAAGGGCCATAACTCTGGCATTAATTATCGTAAATCGCTGAAAATCAATAGGCTTCTTCGTCTCATGACCTTAAACACTATGTATAAATTTAAGATCAATCGGATATTAACTTTGGCCTATAGAGCGCCCACAAGATTTTTTGAAGTGATCAAGGGCCAAAACTCTGGTAGTAATTATCGGAAATCGCTGAAAATCAATAGGCTTCTTCGTCTCATGACCTTAAACACTGTGTATAAATTTAAGATCAACCGGATATTAACTTTGGCCTCTAGAGCGTCCACAAGATTTTTTGAAGTGATCAAGGGCCATAACTCTGGCAGTAATTATCGGAAATCGCTGAAAATCAATAGGCTTCTTCGTCTCATGACCTTAAATACTGTGTATAAATTTAAAGTCAATCGGATATTAACTTTAATCTCTAGAGCATCCACAAACAATTGTGGACGCCGGACGGACAGACGGACGGGGGCGACGACAATATACGACCACATTTAAATGTGGGCGTATAAAAATGCATAACAACCAGGGCCCTGTTTCTCGAAATCTTAACTAAAGATGAAATCAAATTTTTGTAGATACTTCAGTTTTGATTGGCTAAGCACTAAAATCAATCTAATATTATCCAATCAAATCACTAAAGTTTGGATTTTATCTTAGTTAAAATTTCGTGAAACGGGCCCCAGGTTCAATATTTCAGGTAACATGGTTACGACCATTTTTGATAATAAAAAAAAAATGACCAAAATCACTTTGACAAAATGGATTTTTAAGAAAACCTATGTATTTTGGAGTTGCTAGGGAAATCGGTGTAATTGTTACAAAAATGTGAAAATTAAAACATAATTAGCCTTTAAACATAGTAAATTTCAACATAAAGTATTTGCCAAGCTGAAAATCTGAACTGTCCGGCCGAAAATCAGTTCAGACTGAACCGTAAGCAGTTATTTCAAGGCTTGTTCCTAATAGTTTTAATTGTAAACTAAACTTACCTTTAATAATTCATATAAATAGAAACGTATATCATAATCTGTGAATGTTTGGTATAATTGCTACAAAATAAAACCAGAATAAACATATTTATCATCAATACCTGTAACTTAAACAAATTGTTCGATTTGGGGAAAATTTTATGCGTCCTTAAATTTGCCAATAGGGGGCATTCACAAGAAAATTTCATAAAGATCTGATTATAATTTACGTCGTTTGAGGGTTAACATGGTTCTACAAACTGAAACAAGGGCCTTAACTCAGGAAGTAACTAACAGAAATTGCTGAAATACAATAAGCTTTGTTTCAATAATTTAACATCCTCGGTATCCCCAGTGTACTTATTCCGTTCTACTCAACTATACCCTGGGTTAATCCATAGGGTTTCCACGATTTCAAATTATCTGCCCTAGCCTTGATTGTAGCTACATGTATAGTCTATGAACCAATCAACAAACAGTTTACAAACCTGTCGTTTCGCCTTGTTTTTATAAGGGTAGATAACCACATTGATGTTCATTTACTGAATGATTCATGTAAGTAATGTATATATTTTTAATTCATTTATATTTAATTGCATTAATAAAATTTGTCGTATGTTTTTTGCTGATTTCAAATATGTATAACATCTATATGTTTGACTTTTGTTATTATTGTTACTACTCGTTCTTTGTCTGAAATGTTTCATTCTGTTATGTTTATTATTATTGAACTTATACTTGGATATTTGATTCACAATAACTTGTCTACGGTATCAGGTGGATGTAAAACGAACGAGCGATTTTCAATAAAATTCTTGAACCAACATAAACGCACGGTCTTCAATAATATAATATTATATAATTTTTTGTTAATAAATACGCATTTAGAATAATTTGGACTTCTCTCATTTAGGTTAACTCCCAACCTTGTCCGTTGAGAGTTACTTTCCTTTGCCAACTTCCTTTGCAATCAGGGCTTGCCACGAGACGCGAGCAACTGCTCGCGCTCACGTAAATCTACATTTACGCGAGCGGTTCGTTGCTCGCGCAAAATTTTAAGAAAACCCTGTAAAAATAATCAAAATATTGACAAGTTTATTGCCGAAACTAACCCAACAATGTCACTAACGTCATAAATTTGTCTGTCAAACTGAGATTCACCCAGCTGCACGCGACATTTCCTCCTGAAATTTGATTGGCTAATAAAGTTACTCGCAACTTGTGTTACTAAAAATACACTTTAGACCTGAACGTCATGACTGGTTTTCCTACGAACACCAGCAACAAACACGTGATAATCGAGTCTAAAGTAAAGAATGTTTACATCCGGCATTTGGCATTCACGCTAAATGAACACGTTTCAAACTAATATTTATCGGTATTTCCTATTTTATCAGAACTTCGGTTTTTATTCCATTGTTCCATTGTGCAGTCGTATAATTTTCAATCTAAGCGTAATAATGGCCAAAGTGCTTTGGCGCAACCTGATTGCCCTATCCACATTTATTTCGTGGGGTGAAGAAATCCATACGGAAATTGGTTTTAATAAAGAAGAGTACGTATGACTGTCAAAAACAGAAAGCGATGGTCACACATGTTTACTGCAAACTTTGTGCCAGGAATAGCAATTTTCTTATGATTTTAAATTGAAACAATGTTACAAAATGTGTGCTTACGCAAACAACATTTTGCGTGAGCAATTTTTATTGCTCGCCTTGCTCGCCCAAACCTAAATTTGCGTGAGCAGTCATCTGCTCGCCATCAATTTATTCGTGGCCAGCCCTGGCAATTAACGATTTATGGGATTGGTCAATAAAAATAGCACAACCATCAAGGGCGGATAACTTGAAAATGTGTCTCCCCCATAGATTAACCCAGGGGTTAGTGGAGTAGAACGGAATGAAACCACTGGGGATACCGAGGATGATAATTTAAATGATGCATATAAATTTCATACATATTGGATGATAACTCTTGTCATTTGTGAAACAAGGGCCATATCTCTAGACGTAATTAACGGAAATTGCTGAATTCAATAGGATTCTTTGTTTCACTAAATTAAATGATGCATATAAATTTAACACAGATCAGATGATAACTTTCATCATTTGAATGTGAACAAGGTTCAACAAAGTTAAACAAGGATGATAACTCAAGAAGTAGTTATTGGAAATTGCTGAAATTCAATAGGTTTCATCGTTGCACTAATTTGAAAGATAGGTTGCCAGGCAACGAAACATACGCCCACAGCAGCTATATCGTCTGGGCAGACAAGAGTTGTCGCATATTTTTACTTTTTTCAGTAATGAAACATTTATAATACATTAAAATCAGATTGAGAGTAACAACTTATTAAGTAATTATCAGAAAACCATTAGAATTTGTTTGGTTTTTATAAAGTTCTGCCCCATGCTAACATTTAGTGTACGAAACTTTTAACATCATGGATTTAGCTGTTCAAGTCATAAAGATTCATTGAAAATCAATATACTTGTTCGTCTCAAGACCTTGTGTATCAATCTGAAGTCAATCGGATGATAACTATAGCCTCTAGAGCGTCACAAGATTTATCAAAGTGATCAAGGGCAGCAATTATGGCCTCAAACACTGTGCATAAATTTAAAGTCAATCGGATATTAACTTTAGCCTCTGGAGCATGCCACAAGATTTTTCAAAGTGATCGAGGGCCATAACTCTGGCAGTAATTATCGGAAATCGCTGACAATCAATAGGATTCTTCGTCTCATGAACTTAAACACTGTGTATAAATTTAAACTTTAGCCTCTAGAGCATCCACAAGATTTTTCAAAGTGATCAAGGACCATAACTCTGGCAATAATTATCGGAAATCGCTGAAAATCAATAGGCTTCTTCGTCTCATGACCTTAAACACTGTGTATAAATTTAAAGTCAATTGGATATTAACTTTGACCTCTAGAGCATCCACAAGATTTTTTGAAGTGATCAAGGGCCATAACTCAGGCAGTAATTATGGAAAATCGTTAAAAATCAATAGGCTTCTTTGTCTCATGACCTTAAACACTGTGTAGAAATTTAAAGTCAATCGGATATTAACTTTGACCTCTAGAGCATCCACAAGATTTTTTGAAGTGATCAAGGACCATACATGTAACTCTGGCAGTAATTATCGGAAATCGCTGAAAATCAATAGGCTTCTTCGTCTCATGACCTTAAACACTGTGTATAAATTTAAAGTCAATCGGATTTTAACTTTAGCCTCTAGAGCGTCCACAGGCAATTGTGGACGCCGGACCGACGGACGGGGGCGACAACAATATACGACCACATTTCGATGTGGGCGTATAAAAATGATATAAATTTCATACAGATCAGATGGTAACTTTCTACATTTGTTGAGGGAGCCACGGTGGCTAAGACGCTGGCTTGCTGGTTTTCCCTTGTCAGTAGGACAGCTGTTTAGTCGTTCGGATGGGCCGAAAAACCAAGGTCCTGTGTACCCATTGGAGTGCACGTAAAAGATAGCTTGTCAGTTGGAATTCGATGTAAGAGTAGGCCATAGTGCCGGTGCCCAGGCAAAATGTAAAACGAAACACGAAATAGATATTTTGGTTATTCTTGCATTCGATGTTATGCGCACATTGTTAGTTCTAGTAAGGTTATCAGATGGTTTGGAGATGATAGTTAAGCTTTTCCTTCTCGTCTTTAAACGCGACGATGGCAGTAACACAATGTACCTGCATTATTTTTTTCCATCCATAAATTTTAACAGTATTCATCTTTTGATCTTGCCGATAATAACTTCGCCGATACTAAGTGTAAGAGTAAATTAGTCATTTTAATTAGCGACATGAATTTGGTAACGGTAAACTAGGACAACATTCGACAATCTTGGTACCTGTAAATTATCATGAATTAACTTGCAGTGCCACACATATATAAAAGGGTCATTTGTTGATATTTAAACCCACAGATTACCTCACAATCACTTTATTTGAATTAACCTTCCCCCTTATAGTACACTGTATGGCGTATGCCCGTCTTCATTAACCCAGCCGGAGCAGAACAGTCAGATGTTAATTTAAACCCCATTTAAATTCATTTCAATTCTACATTCAAGCTTTCATAAGGTTCAACAAAGTGAAACAAGGGCCGTAACTGTAGAAGATATTAATGGAAACTGCTGAAATTCAATAGGCTTTTTCGTTGCACTAATTCACATGATGCATATAAATTTCATAGATTGTATAACTTTTGTTGTTAAGCGTTCACGAGTCATAACTTGAGAAGAAATTAACAAAAATTATTGAAATTGAATAGGATTCTTCATCTCACTGATGTAAACAAGATGTCAATTGCAATCAGATGATAAATGTAGTCTGTAAAGTGTTCAGAAGGGGGGGTGGAATTGGCCTAGTGGTTTAGAGCGTCACGCTTCGACCTCTAGCTGGCCGGTCACCTCTGGCTTGCGGTTGTGGTTTCGACATAGGGGAACTTTCTCAACCTTGTGGGTTTACTCTGGGTATTCCGATTTCCTCCCACAGGAAAGACCCTTGTGCGTGCGCTAAGAAAATGGAAGCGGACGTTAAACACTAAGGACAACAACATGTTCAGAAGAAATTGTGGACGACGGACGGGGGCAACAGCAGTATACGATCACATTATCTATTTTAGATGTTGGGAACTATTAAACTTCCATTCAAATTTTGTGTAGTGATAACAGAACATAGATATCCTTGGACAGAATCTCATTGAAATGCACTATTTAAAAAGCACATGAAATGACCATATAAAAGTGGTATGTACTTGAAGCCAGTGTTCACTATTGGCCTATACACTTTAAACCAATTCCATGTCATTGACCATCTTATTAAAAGTTCTACAACATATTTCAACTTTTTTTATACATCCACATTTCCATGTGAACATATATTGTCGTCGCCCTTGTCCGTTTGGACGTCAGTCCACAATTGCTTGTGGACACTATACAGGTCACAATTCTTAACCGATTTTGACGAAACTTGAACCTATAAGATCTCGGTTCCTTTCGATATTGGCATGTATCGGATTGAAACTTCGTGGATTATGGCCCCTGATTGTACTAAAAATCACATTTTTTACTTGTGGACCCTATAGAGGTCACAATTTTGATCAGATTTTAATGAAACTTGAAATGCATGTTTATAACCCAAAGATCTTGGTTCCTGTCGGTATTCGCACATATCTGATGGTACCTTCCTGAATTATGGCCCTTGATGTTACGAAAAATCCCTTTTTGTTTAGCTTGTTCTCTGTTCATCTCTTGAAAAATGTGGGCATATCCTGCCTGGTAGCCGCTGGTTTATTATAGCCATAATTGACGTCAAAGGGACAACACATGCGGACTGCCAACAAACATTACATACACATCACCAGCTGGCAGACCACCCACACCCGAATTGTTCAAGATTATAAACATGCGATGGGGAATAACATTTAAGAGTGAATTTGAAAATGCCACATGACGTTTTTGTGATCAAGGGTTGTGGAAGTTCTAGCAAAAAGTTCATACATGTACTTCCAAAGGATGAATTTTATGAGTAAATTGTTAAAATGTGGATCAGCAAGCTACTGTTACAACAGTGGTATGCAAACCAATTATGTTACATAGTAAAATCTTACTGAAGTTATTGAAAAATATTTTTTCAAGGGAAAAGAAATCGCTATGAAAATAGTTAGAAAAGAAATACTCACCTTGAAATCTGTGTTATTCACATGTTCAAATATAAGGGCAGGAGTGCGAGACTACAAAAGAAACAAGTCAAAAGTCAGGCTGATGTCACCCGCCGAAATCCCAAAAATAAATGACACAAATTAATTAATTGCACATTTATCTTTATCATAAGTATCGAGCAGTCAAACTGATTGTTTGAAAATTCTATCTCAATAAGGCGCGTTATTGTGTTCCAAAGTCTCAAATAATCAAATTGCTCATTGCTCTGCTTACCCTGAGCAACAAATGTCTATTAATTATTGAACTATATACCAAGCTTCATCACTCTCACTTAATTAGAACAAAGTAATCATGTCCCAAGGCATCAACCAATCAGATTGCTTATCTCTGCTTACCGTAAGCAGACAATGTTTATCATCAAACTCCATCAAGGCATTCACCTAATGAACGCCTACACCTAGTTTGAACATTCTAGCTCAATTAGAAGGAGAGTTATTGTGTTCCAAAGTCTCAGCCAATCAAATTGCTTATCGCTCTGCTTACCCTGAGCAGAAAATGCTCATTATCGAACTTAGTCAAGGTAATGATGTTATGAAACTACACACCAAGTTTTATCACTCTCACTTAATTAGAACTAAAGCATGAACCAATCAAATTGCTTATCTCTGCTTACCCTAAGCAGAAAATGGTCATTTTCGAACTCCATCAAGGCATTGACCTAATAAACACCTACACCAAATTTGAACATTCTAGCTCAATTAGAAAGAGTTATTGTGTCCCATTTTAATAGTCCCTTTCTTTCTTCGAAAGGCGAGGGACAATAAAATGTTGGCTGTAATGTAAATCTTCACTTGAAGAAAATGCCAAGGCATACACATATAATTTATCTCACAAATTTTTTTATATTCTGATAAACAAAAATCATTATGTTGAATTAAGTGTTCAGGACAAGTGTTACAATTATTACACCCACTAGTGATACAATATGCAATGTGTAGGATATGATACAACAGTAACTCTGAATTTAAACCTAATCTATAGAATATTTCGTAATATATTCATATAATAATATATATACAATGTTCAGATTAAGTATTGGTTGTTAACCAGTCATAATTTGGGATATGAATCGCCAAACATTCCAGCAGTGTTTGAGTGGGAGGAGTATGATACATTGAAAGGATGCAGCAATACCCCGAGGATTGTGATTAATCACGATTATTGGGTCAGGCGATTAAATAAGCGCCTCCTTTCACAATAATCCTTATTTCATGATTATTCTTAAAATAATCGCAATTATGATTTGGGAGAATCAAATTTATAAACTTTGGAAAGTATTTCCTATTATTTTGGCTGAATTCTTATCAAAATGACAGAAGGATGAAAAACATCTGGTGTAAACAGTTTCTAGTTACCCCACTGCACTCTAAGCTGCGTAAAGTGTCATTGTCATAGAAACCAACTCCATTGACCGATTGTTGACCATTGATTATCCAGTCTGCAACTATGTTATGGTACATGTTATGCGTCTGGATAATATTTCTTTTTTTACCGTCAAAAACAATATAATTAAAAGATCGCAGCTCATTTCAGCTAGGGCATTTTCAGATTTTTGGTGCCGTAGTAGAAAAAATCCTAATTTCAAGCACTGTCCTGCTTTACAAATTGATCATGCAACAAATAAATAAGTTCTCAATAGATTGTGTGTATTTTTTAACTCCGTAGGATAATGTGTATGATACGATACAGCAGCAACAGTCTGTGCACCCCCTATGTCTAGTTTAGTTTATAATCGTTGAAAATAACACCACTGTAACTGTAAAACATGGATATGCCTACAGCGCACATGGGTTAAAAGTGTATTCGATAATTGCAATAGATTTGTCAGACTTTCATATATAAAATGATAAACAAAATATGTATTGACGTTATTACACGGTCAGGTGACATCCTCCTGGGACTATTCTATAACCGATACATTAGTCATTATTAGGATCACAAGATCTACCATGGCAAAAAAAATGAATTATGCTGCGGCAGACAGGGGTAACATCGGCCTTTACCACAGTTTTGCTGTTTGCCGTGGTTAATTTCGAGCACTGATAGTGTATTTACTCATGGCTGTTTACGACTTTATTAGTTATAAAGTTACAATTTCATATTTTCTAAGAAAGTCAAAACATAATTATTTCTATGTCTTTTGCTCAATAGGTTGTCAACTCACTATTATTGGTTATCTTTCTCACACTTAAAAATCTTCACACCGGAAATAATAACACAATTACCTCCCTTGTTTTCCTATTCTCCACCATGGAATAGCTTGCTATCTTCAAACATTTGAATTTGAAGTTGAAAATGATATTTTTGCCAATTTCTCAACTAGCGATAGTGAATTATAGGATTAATAGGATTATTCTTTAACAAGGTAGGACTGTTTATAGATACCATCTATTTTAGGGCTCGATTTTAATACATTTTAAAAATATAACTTAAAAATATGAATTTGTAACTTTAATAATCACAAAAATGAATCCTTCAAGCATGATTATTTGAATTATCACGATATTGTGATTATTTATTTTGCAATAATCATGATTAATCAAAATTATTTTTGTGTGTATTCTTACATTGTACATCCTTAATTGTAGCTATTACTCTGATAAAAAGTGTTATGTATTTTTCAAATTTCCCCTCCTCGTTACCCAAGTTGGAGCAGAACAGTAGGACGTTAAACCCTATTACATTTTATTTCATTTTATTTAAATTTACCTTTTGGAACATTTCGTACGGTAGGGTATGGTAGAGCAAAATATAGTGTTGCACGATTTGTACTGATCAGTCTGTTAAAAAATTTAATGTGATTTGACTACTTTCCGGTTTTTGAATCATTAACCCTTAAACAGTTTTGTCGACTATAGTCACCATAACACTATACAGTCAAGTGGTCACGGTCGACCGCAGTAAGAACATTTTTTATAAGACGCATTTGAGCATTTAGTTTCGTATTTAATTGATACGGCCACGTATGCGTGTCAGACAGGAAGTCAAGGGCATTCAGATAAACATGTCTTTGTTCAATTTATTAACGATGTTGAGAAAGTTAAAGACTAGCAAAGTGCTTGAAATGCTTATGAATGATTCTGACTCGAATTATATCGATGAAACCGATTCTGAAGACGATATTTCTAATGAAAATGATTTAGAAAACGAGAGAGAACGGGCAAATTATAGATCAACTTATCCCCGTCAACTTTTGTATTGGGTGTCAAGAGTCAATCACTTATAATTATCCGGCAGTAGTCTTTTGAAATAGGCATACAAACTATTTCACTTTAGCCTTTATCTAGCCTGACCACTTGATTTCATGACGTCAAAATGACGCCGACTGGTTACATATGGGTTAATGCATATTTAAAATTAAAAGAATCATTAAACAGATTATATTTCAAAAATTTGTATTCATTGTATGCCATCCATCCAAGAATGTAACCACTTTTCATTAAGAAAATCAAAGCTTACTCACCACAGGGTCTTTAACAATTGCAAGAAGAGTTATTATATTAGTTCCACCACGTAAATTTTCCAATATTTTTATTTCTCTTTTGATTTTCTTCTTTTTAACAGGCTATAAAAATAACAATAAAGATTGAAAATCAGCACTACATGCAAGTACATGTACTAGATGTTCTTGGAAGAGAATTTCCAAATCAAATCTTTTTTGGGAGAGCAATAACAGCACCAGAGAGATTGTTCCTGACAAGCCCGAATTTATGCCAGACATTACCATACAATGTACAATGATTACTAATAACTATTTTGTAGGAGCCCCGCCAAGGGTGGTCTCACCACTAAAGAAGGGAAAATACAATTTTCAGTGACAAAAATATTAAAGTTTATTCCAGGTTTACTTGGTCATCAAATATTCGAAATACATTTGAAAATATAACTTAGTATATATCCTTCCTAGACTTTACTGCTGGTGGCTTTGAATTCAGGACTAGTGATCAGAAACACTCCGATGATGGCTATTTATTAATTAAACATACATTATGCAAGAGCTAAATCTGTCTATTGCAGGTCTTTCTTTAGGCCCGAAATGTTATCTTAATTATTAATTAGACATTAATTAACTTATACAGACCATAATCAACTCTAGATGGTTATGCTAGCCTGCGATCTTTAGTGGATTATGAGCCAATTTACTGCATAACTTTCCTTCACGATTTAACGATTAATGGATAATCAAGACTACGCTGTTTATTGTACTGACTTTAGTAATGATGATCGAGGCTAGGCGGAAATTTCAAACACTTAGTTCTCAGTTCATAGTGGATCAATTTGAATGAAATTTTCAGCAAATTGCCTTTACATTATCTAGTTTTTAACTATTATAGTGAGAACTGCCAACTCATTATCGAATCTCCCATAATGTATCTTTAAGGGAAATTGTTTAATTTATGAAATATATAATTAACTTTTATTTGGGATATTTTACTTTACATTAACCAGCGGCTGCCAGGCAAGATACGCCCACATATTGCAAGAGATGGATTGAGAAAAAGCTAAAAAGATAGGTTGCTAGGCAACAAAACTTACGCCCACAGCAGCTACATGTAAGTCGTCCGGGCAGTCAACAAGGGTTGTCACATATTTTTACTTTTTTCGGTAATGAAACATTTATAATACACTACAATCTGATTAAGAGCAACAACTCACGAAGTAATAATCAGAAAACTATTAGAATTTGTTTGGTTTTTATAAAGTTCTGCCCCATGCTAACGTTTTGTTTGATCTTAAACTCTGTGTATCAATCTGAAGTCAATTGGATGATAACTTTAGCCTTTAGAGCGTCACAAGATTTTGCAAAGTGATCAAGGGCCATAACTTTGGCAGTAATTATCGGAAATCGTTGAAAATCAATAGGAATCTTCGTCTCATGACCTCAAACACTGTGTATAAATTTAAACTCAATCGGATGTTAACTTTAAACTCTACAGCATCCACAAGATTTTTTGAAGTGATCAAGGAACATAACTCTGGCAGTAATTATCGGGAATCGCTGAAAATCAATAGGCTTCTTCGTCTCATGACCTTAAACACTGTGTATAAATTGAAAGTCAATCAGATATTAACTTTGGCCTTTAGAGCGTCCACAAGATTTTTCAAAGGGATCAAGAGCCATAACTCTGGAAGCAAATATTGGAAATCGCTGAAAATCAATAGGCTTCTTCGTCTCATGACCTTAAACACTGTGTATAAATCTAAAGTCAATCGAATATTAACTTTGGCTTCTAGAGCATCCACAAGATTTTTTGAAGTGATCAAGGGCCATAACTCTGGCAGTAATTATCAGAAATCGCTGAAAACCAACAGGCTTCATCATATTTTGACCTTAAACACTGTGTATATATTTAATGTCAATCGGATATTAACTTTAGCCTCTAGAGCATCCACAAGATTTTTTGAAGTGATCAAGTGCCATAACTCTGGCAGTAATTATCGGAAATCGTTGAATATCAATAGGTTTCTTCGTCTCATGACCTTAAACATTGTGTATAAATTTAAAGCAACCACAAGATTTTTCAAAGTGATCAAGGGCCATAACTCTGGCAGTAATTATCGGAAATTGCTGAAAATCAATAGGCTTCTTCGTCTCAAGACCTTAAACACTGTGTATAAATTTAAAGTCAATCAGATATTAGCCTCTAGAGCGTCCACAAGCGTGGACGCCGGGGGCGACGACAATATACGACCACATTTCAATGTGGGCGTATAAAAAAACGAAGCGATTTTTCGTACAATCACGGGCCATGATCCAGAAAGCTATGGTCTGAAATGCGCAAATATCAAAAGGAAATGAGATCTCTGAGATATATATTTTAAGTTTCATCAAAATCGATTAAAAATTGTGTCCACAACCTTTGTATTACATACTTTTACACAATTTGCGTACAAAGAGCGGTCATTTTGTTGTGCAGTTTCATTTCGATTTTCTTGAAATACGAATTCAACCATCATTATGGTGGAATGGTGATATATTTAAACGGTTTTAAAAATCAGATAAATAATTGGTTCCTCTGGAGAGTCCACAAGCTAAAAATATGATTTTCCGTACAACCAGGGGCCATAATTCAGGAAGTTACGAACCAATATGCGCAAATATAAAAACACATTTTTTCATACAATTGTGACCCCTAGAGGTTCCACAACCTTGATATTCCATACTTTTACACTATTTGCATACAAACAGGAGCGACGATTTTCGATCCTTATTCACAGAATTCAAACATAGGCATCATTATGGTGTAACGGTGAATATTCATTCAAACAGTTTTTTTAGATCGGGTAAATATTGTGACCTCTAGAGGGACCGCAGGCTAAAAAAACAAACAGTTCATTTCGGGATTAACATGTTCAAATTTATTTCAATAATTCCCCTTTGCTTAGGGGTCTTTAACAGTATGAGAAAACCGGAGGACCGGGAGAAAACCGAAGAGATTGAACAAGCGAACCTACTCCAAAACAAGTACAAGCGGGGAGCAGAGGTGCGTTTTTGCCCTCTACATCTGCGTGACTTAGAGCCGCTCAAAATACCCAAAAGAAGCAAGTAAAATTGTTTTTGAACAACCCTATTTTAAGCGTCCTTATTTTATTGATACTCTATGAAGTCTAATGAAGAGTATTCTAGCCAATCCCAAGTCTCATATGAAATGTGCTTTTTAGCTTCCAGTGAGGCAAAATAGGGGGCTTCTCAAAATAGCTACGTCTAGAAGGCGTACTGCCATGAACTTAAAGATTATGAATGAAATCAGAGGAAATACAACAAGGCATTGACCTAATAAACACCTACGCCAAGTTTGAACATTCTAGCTCAATTAGAAAGAGTTATTGTGTCCCAAAAAGTATGAAAGACAGACAGACGGACGGATGGACAGACACATGGACGAACCCATTTTAATGTTCCCCTACTTTCTTCGAAAGGCGGGGAACAAAAACAGATCTTATGATTCAACGCACAAATTAACCAATCGGCCACCCCCACCCCCCAACTCAATTAGAAGCAGAGTTATTACAGGTATGTCTCAAGAAGGACAACCCGACAGACAAAACCATTTTAAATGATAGTCCTTGTATATAAAATAAACAAAAGGGACAATAATTAAACAGGTAATTAAGTCTTGAAAATCATTTTAATTAACCTACCTTTAAAATTTTTATCACACATTTCTCATTGTTAGTGATATTGATAGATTCAAATACTTCACTGTATTTCCCTCTTCCCAACTTGCGTACAATTTGATAGTCATCCTGATTGCTAAATAGATAAAGAAATAATTCAAAAAATAAAACACACATAGATCCCTTCTTAAACCATAAAGATCTTAATACATGCATAATAGGCCTACATAAATCAAATAGATTTTAATACCTGTATGCCTGGTGTACTTAATGACTGGTTTAATTTGTTCCTAGCAGAGTAAAAGTTATCTGCCTCAACAACGTTTACATCACTATAAAATTGGCCTAATAAAATTGTGCTGGAGAATTATTCTATAAAGCTTACCATTAGATTTGTTTTACACTATGATGAACCTGCAGGTCAATCCTAATTTTCTTATTTAAAATATTTTCTAATACTTTATAATGCTTACTTACACAAGTACATATAATAATAACAAGTCAACAGTAAGGCTAATGTCCCTCGTTGAAATCCAAAAATAATCACTGAACTCAGTCAAGACATTCACCTAATAAACATCCACCATCAAGTTTTAACCTGAATAATGCAAGAGCTAAATCCGACTATTGCAAGTCTTTATTTAGGCTTCAGAAGTTATCTACATGTAATTATTAATTAGACATTAATTCAACTTATTCAGACCATAATCAACTCTCGATGTCATCGCTAGCCTGCGATATTTACATTTACTGGATTAGGAACCGATCTGCTGTTTAACTTTCATTCATCATTTAATCATGAAATGGATAATCGAGACTATGTTTTTCCATTGTACCGACTTTAGTAATGATGATCGAGGCTAGGCCGAAATTTCAATTGATAAAATCTTGGTTCAGAGTTGATCAATTTGACTGAAAATTTCAGCAAAGTGCCTTTACATTATTTAGTTTTAACTATTATAGTGAGAACTGCCAGCTCTTTATCTAATCTCCCATAATGTATCTTTAAACTTTCTACCTCAATTAAAAGCAAAGTTGTTATGTTCCAAAGTCTTGACCAATCAAATTGCTTATCGCTACTTAGCCTAAGCAGAAAATACTCATTAAATTTAGTCAAGGTATTGATTAAATCAACCTATACTCGGAACTACCACTTAATTAGAACCAAAATTATTGTATCCCAAAGCATCAACCAAATTGCTTATTTCTGCTTACCCTAAGCAGAAAATGCTCATCTTCAATCCCCATCAATCAAGGCATTCACCTAATAAACATCTACTCTAAGTTTGAACATTCGAGCTAAATTAGAAGGACAGACCCATTTTTAATAGTGCCCTGCTTTCTTCGAAGGCATGAGACAATAAAACTATACACCAAGTTGCACCACTAACTGGATCAGACTTATCGATATATACTCTTCAAAAAAAAAAAAGGGGGATATTGAAATGCAAATACATATGCAGGTTGTGATATGATAAATAGTCACGGACACTTCACATGCTTTGAGAGTATGTTCTTTTGTTCACAGATGAAGAACTTATTGCCCCAACAGAACCACTGAGCTGCACGTGCGACACCTAATAGCGCCATACACGTGGGAGGGGTTCATTGTCAAATTTGACACTTCAAGGTAGGGTTGATGAAAACTGCCGCATGCTGGTTTATCTTGCATAGGATTTACTGTTTAGCGTATCTTTGCTTTAGAGTGTTACATTTAATTTGCAAAATGAGACGTCTTCAACATGATGGACGTCTACGTGCTATTGGCATGCTTCAAATGGGTTCTACACAGCGAGCAGTAGCCAACATGCTTAATGTGTCACAGTCTGTGATCAGCAGACTGTGGAACCAGTACCAACAAACACAATGTTGATGATAGACCTCGTTCAGGTCGTCCTAGAGCCACTCCACTACACAAGCCCAGGATCAATACATTCAGACACAGGTCCTCCCAAATCAAGGACAACCGGCTAGGACCGCGTGTTGTGCCTCCAGTAACTCGCCAGCACATGGCAAACAGGCGTCAATGGTGTAGGCAGCATAGAAATTGGGGTAATCATCGATTGGTGCGTGTAATGTTCTCAGATGAGTCCAGATTTATTCTGGATTTCACTGATAGGCGTGCTCGCGTTTGGAGGCGTGTAAATGAGCGTCATGCTAACGTTAACGTCAGATAGCATGACAAGATTCGGGTGTGGGTCTGTTATGGTGTGGGGAGGAATCACCATTAGTGGCAGAACAATCCTGCATATTGTTCAAGAAGGGTCACTGGTGTGTACTACCGTGACCACATCCTGGCCTTTGCTCGACGGTTCATCTTTCAAGATGATAATGCCCGTGCCCACAGCTTGTGTCATGAATGACTACCTCCAGCGTCACAATATTGTCCATATGCCTTGGTCAGCCATGAGTCCTGACCTTTCCCCTATAGAGCATGTCTGGGACATGATGGGGAGACATGTTCGTCAACGTCAACCGACAACACTGCAAGAATTGGCCATGGCACTGCAAGAGAAGTGGGTCAGATTGCCCCAAATCGTGATTGGACGGTTGATTAGGAGCATGCCACGACGAATTGCTGAATGTCTGAGGATTGGTGGAGCAATTACTTATTATTAAGACAAAAATCAAAAACGTCCATTTTCACTTTTGACAGTGTATCTCTTTGCGAGTGAAATGGGGCAATCAGATAAGCTACCCATATGAACTGTTTATGTTCATGTGTAGGCAATTGGCCTGTTATTAACATACACTGGTTACCTCTAATAAAAACAGCAGTGCATTTCTGCAGTTTTGTATTGTTTCTGAATATTCCCTACTATTTTTGAAGAGTATATAATATAACAACAAAAATCTTGCATGTTTCATGACATGGCTCGAAATGGTCGCCTGTCTACTTGTCACTGACAGGCAATTTTTTCGTCTGACAGGTAGCAAGTAAAACTACCTGTCGCAAGCGACAGGCGGACTAAATTTTACTTGATGTTCAGTAAATTGAATTAAGACCATAACACTCACAACCATGTCACGTACATTTAATTGTTCGTTTCTAAATGCAAGAATTAAGCATGGAAATACTGTGAAAAGCTGCCATTTGCACTGTTTTCATTTCGCTCTGTCGCAGGCTAAAGTTACCCTCACAGTTTGGAAATAAACAACTTTTTAACAATAAATTTCACACCATCTACGCTTGTTTTCATCTGCTTGACACTAGTTCATAACATATTATGAAGTATTATATCTACATAAATTAAAATGCACGCCCAAATCATCTAAAATAATTCTAGCGTAACGACACCACAGTAAATGTGGTTGTGGCTGGAATGGAAATGCACACGGCTCGTTGCCTGGTGTATTTAGTATCTAATCATTTAAAAAGTTTAAAACAATTTCCATAAAGGCTATGAATAATTTATAAGACAATTTAACAAAATCAAATAATTAGGTTGGAAAAATATTTCATATATAAATATAATTTGTAGCGTAAATATAGACAGGATATGTGAGAAAGGAATTCCAGGGGGCATTACATGTACCTGTCCTCCGCACGCGGTACATGTAAATACGGCGTCATGTACAGGTGTGATTCGTGTTTTGAAATTCAATTTATTACAGATATTTTAAAATCTGAATTCTACACAGTTGTGGTACCAATATGATACTTGGCGGAATTCACGTGGATACGGATGATAGAATTGTACGAATCTTCGTTGAGTCGCTGAGCCAAAGCAGATTCATCGGACTTTCAAGAACTTTTAGGGATTCTGATGCCGAAGAAATGAAAAGGTTTCATATTACGGTATTTATATGGATATTATGGAGCAATGTACGTCAAGACCTAAACAATTTAAGAGCATGTGTGTACCTACATGTATGGATATGTGTGACGTGATTGGTCTTTGATAACTGATAGTGACTATTTATTTACTGAACGAGATGTTTTTAAAACATTTCGAGGCCTGTTTATGCCATATAAAATAATGATAAACAAAGAGACACAGTAGTACCAAACATTCCAAGCTTAAGTTAGTTATGACAATTTAAAGTGTAAGCGGTCATCTTTATTCGTCTCTAATGTTTGAGCTATACTAATTTGATTTGTACTCCCAAAAACTGCAGCCAAGAGATTATCTAATCTACAATTTAGTGTTTTAATCTTCAAAATTACTAAAATTATCTAAAACAACACCTTTCAACCTTTATTAGCCTTCTGTATTGTTGCACTCTGAACACAAGACTATCCAGGGGAGTTGAACTAAAGGAAATGATAGAGACCCAGATAAGACGACCAGATTTCAATCAGTTAAATTAGGTTTTACATGTAGTAAGTATCTTTAGCATGAATTTTCACAACAATATACAGTAAACCTCTCATAAGTAGGATCCATTTAATCTTCAGATAAAATTGTTTAGACCCTTTGATCCTGGATGCCTGTTTGTTTTTCTTATTTAATTTCTGCGCAGATGTCAGATCTTCGCTCAACTTGGATCAAAATGTTCGGTCCATTTCATCTAATTCCAGCTTTTTTCCTTCGCCTTAGTCGAATTGGCATTATGTTCAGAATTTCACTGTAAGTTATGTCCTGATGGTCTAAAACTTGGTTAGGTATTCCATGCAGAGACCCAAAATACTTTCCTCTATCATTTTGACTCAAATCAGCCTATTTGACACAACCCCATAATAGGATTTTCACAGAAAATTCCAAACTCCCTGTCTGCTATACCAGACACTTTCCGGGAAAATTTAGGACATTTTTCAAAGATGGCGACAAAACGGAAGTTATCTACTCGCACCAAAACGGAAGTTATCTACTCGCACCAAAACAGAAGTTATCTACTTGCACGTACAAACAAAAGCTTGAAATGTGCCTTTGAATCAATTATTATCCAGCCCTTACAGTTTATTTCTAATCGAGCTAAGATTGAATTTCAGTCTTCGGCTGACTAGGACCTTCACTTACTCGGATAAAATACTGTAATTTCTTTAAAATCAGCATTAATAATATTACAAGTATGATATGAAGGAACATATCATATTGGCTAAATAAATTCCAGACCTGACAAATCTGAGATAGTAAAGTTTGCATCCCTATTGCAGCCCAGTATTTTTTCTTGGAACCATTCTTTTGATTTAAA